TGTAATGAAGATGATGTATCGATGGTATATGACACCTGTAAAACTGGCAAAGATGTATAAGATAAGTAATAAATGTTGGAAATGTAGAGAAAAGGAAGGAACGTTTTACCATATGTGGTGGGACTGTAAAAAAGTTAAAAACTTTTGGGAAATGATTTATAATGAATTGAAGAAAGTATTGAAATATACATTTGTAAAGAAACCAGAAGCGTTTTTACTAGGAATAATCGGTAATGAGATAGATAAGAAAGATAGGAAGATATTTTTATATGCAGTGTCAGCAGCAAGAACTTTGATGGCCCAGAAGTGGAAACAAGAAGAGTTACCTATGATTGAAGAATGGAGAATGAAAATGATGGATTATGCAGAACTCGATAGACTAACAGGAAGGATCCGGAACCGACGTGATCAAAGATTTACAGAAGTTTGGATGAAATTTACTGAATATATGCAAAAATTAAGTGATAATCAGATAACGTTTGTAAGTTTTCAGGAAGCTCTGTGAAGAGAAAAGGTAGGAATATTGTTAGATTGTAAAAAATTAATTAATAATATGGTGGTGTAATTTAAATTTAAGAAATGTGGAGAAAGTAAGTACTAGGAAGGTTTTTCAGGCGGGAGGAGGGAAGTCAATAAGGAGGAATTTGGATGTAAAAAAGATGTTTTGGATGTATAATTTGTTATGGAAAAAGAATAAAAAATATATTTTTTTAAAAAAGAGCTAGAGTTGCATCAGCTTTATATAACATATTTTCCCGTGTATAACATGCCCCTGTGTATAAGACGCCTATTTTGGGGAACTCCAATTTAAGAAAATGGGGGGAGATGGCCCAAACCACCAAGCGTCTGCCCAGTTGCCACCAGCAGCCAGAAATCACACACCCAATTGCCTCAGCGGTAGCCAATCCACAACAACCCTTGCCACACCCACCAATCACCCACACAATCACCATGCATCTGTGTATAAGATGACACCAATTTTTAACATTATTTTACAGTGCAAAAACCTCGTCTTGTACACGGAAAAGTACAGTATATCACAGTCCTTGCCTGTAAAGGTATAGATATGGAAAACAACACCAAAGCTTCTTCTCCAAGTTGGAGAAGTTATTTCTCCCCTGGAAAAAAAATCCAACCCTGAAACTGAAGCAGGGCTAAAGTAGTCAGCAGCCTTTTCTTCAGCTTCATTCCTCACCTCCTTTCAAGCATGCATACAACGCTCCTCTCGCCTCTTTTGACAGCTGTAGGAAGCACAAAATTAGGGTTATAAACTTCACAGCCCCTCCTGAGCCAGCCTCCCTCCACGCACAGACACAAACACCCTCCCACGTCTGTGGCACCTTCTCCTCCAATAATTACTTAATTATGGGCCAATTATTGAAATTACACAAGCGGGAGCCTAGTGGCAGCTCTACAAGCAACTCAGCTATGGCTGCTTATGATTCCCTTTGAAAGCGAAGAGACCCCTTTTCTGTTTTTTTCCTTCTTCTAACACCCACACAGTTCCTTCCCCCACCTCTTCTTTCTTCTTTCCTTCTCTGCGGCTGCATAGAAGGATGCCTCTCATGCAAGAAAGAGAAAAGTGCCTCTAAGGCATCCATCCGTATGGACAAAAGGCAAAAACACTCCTTCTCCCACAGAGACAAAAAACAACCCTATTCAGGACAAACCGTCACAGAGTCAACAAGAGCTTAATGGGCACATGGTGCCACAATCAGCAGTAACACTAATATAGCAATGGTCTAGTGCTATGTGAACAAGCCCTAGGTTTGTGTGTTCCCAGTTCCCCACAGCTCCCCTCCGGTAAAACTGTGTGTACGGCAGATTGGAGCCATTTGCAGGTTTCCAACTAACTGCTTTGTCCTTATGCCTCAACCAGGACAAGCCTTGGTTAGTTTTATCCACAGTTTCTCCAAAGAAAGCCAGCTGCAAACCATGGTTTATGATGCTGGCTTGCTCCAATAAACCATAATGAAAACTGATCAAAGTTCCCAGTTCAGTCCTAATGGCAATCCATGGTTATTTGAAAAAGGAACAAATGCTTCCAATCTCCTTCTTGCATCTTCAGCAGAGGAGAGAAAGGGAAGAAGGCTTGTGCATGTAACACTAAACTATGGTTTCTCCTTTTGTCCAAGCACAGTGAATAACACACACACACACATATCTTTTATGATACAGGCACTGGTATCACACAAAATAGCAAGGACTGAATGCATAGCCACAATTTTAAAGGGTGGGGGGGTAGTCTCTCTTTCTTACACTTTATACAACTGGTGTGGAGTAAAGCTTAGTGCTGGATATAGTCTAGACCAGGATTTCCTAACCTTGGGCTTCCAGCTACAATTCCAGACTAAAATTCCCATCATCCCTGACCACTGGTCCTGCTAGCTAGGGATGATGGGAGTTGTAGTCCAAAAACATCTGGAGACCCAAGGTTGGGAAACACTGGTCTAGACCTAGGGATTGGGCACGTGATCTGGTTTCATATCCCTACTCAACCAAGAAACTCATTGAATAACCCTTCAATTAGGGATTGATAGTTTGCATTGGAATGTGAACCTACCCAGCTCACGTTTTCCCAACCAATGCTATTGAGTGCATGAACTGAAATGAAGCTATCCCTTGAAATCTGCATTACAACGGATTTTGCATTGCAGTTCTCCAATCCCAAAAAAAGTGTACAAAAAGCATATACCATGGCGCAGTGTGCACAAATGTGTATTTTTTTGGCGGGGGGTTGTTTGCCAAAATATGTATGTTAGCCAAAATTATGTACATAGGGGAAAATGTACATGGGATGGCTCAGTCAGTATGAGCCATGAACATGCAACGTGAGCGATCTCACAGTTTCAGGTTCGAGCCCCACATTGGGCAAAAGATTCCTGCATTGCAGGGGGTTGGACTACATGACCCTCGTGGTCCCCTCCAACTCTACAATAATATACTGTATTTTTCGCTCTATAAGACGCACCAGACCACAAGACGCACCTAGTTTTTGGAGGAGGAAAACAAGAAGAAAAAAAATTCTGAATCTCAGAAGCCAGAACAGCAAGAGGGATTGCTGCGCAGTGAAAGCAACAATCCCTCTTGCTGTTCTGGCTTCTGGGATAGCTGCGCAGCCTGCATTCGCTCCATAAGACGCACACACATTTCCCCTTACTTTTTAGGAGGGAAAAAGTGAGTCTTATAGAGCAAAAAATACGGTATATATTTCTTTAAAAAATAACGAACCAACATGGAAACAAGGCAAACAGAACTTAAGACTGAAACAATTAGAAATGGGGAGAAACCAAAATTGTCACATTTGTCCATCTATGTCTATTGCCAGTTAATCTATCCCATGATCCTATTGTGAGAGTGAAATTGGGATACCCTCTTCCATACTCCTCTGAGTAGCTTCCTTAGAAATATGATTATTAACAGTAAAGAAGAAGGTGCCAGACTCCAACAAAATTCATATAATGTATCCCCCCAGAAGGTGATCTAATGACTAGCACTCCAATTATGTACAAGTGAGAGCTTGTACACATACTTTATTTCCAGGTCTACAGCATTAATTCTTTTCAGCTCAGAATCGTCTTGTCACAGGCAAGGAGATGCGAGATCCTTCATCTAAATCTCATTATAGTGATTGCCCTCAAATATATGCTATTGTACTGCATTACACAGGCTAATTGCATTCTGCATGGAAAACACAGACCCATTTTTAACTTGTCACTCCTTCAGCTCCATTGAAAGATGCCTCACTTTTGCGCTGGTGGCGTGGGGAATAAAGGAGATGGCCAACCCAAGGACAAAGCCCCAAGGAGTAGAAATACACAGATAATTATCCCGTCAGTTTTAACTTCCATAGTATCAAAGGGCCACCCTATCATACCCTTCAACATTTCTCTGGTGAAAATAGGGGTGTCCTATTCTATCATCATCATCATCATCATATGCCGTCCATCTGAATGGGTTTCCTCAGCCACTCTGGGCGGCTTCCAACATATATAAACACCTAATAAAACTTTAAACATTTTTAAAAACTTCCCAATACAGGGCTGCCTTCAGGTGTCTTCTAAAGGTTGTATAGTTACTTATCTCCATGGGTCAGAGGTGACATAACTCCATACCCTCCAACATTTCTCTGATGAAAATAGGGACATCCTAAGGAAAAGCTGGACATTCAGGGATCAAATCAGGACAGCTTTTATAAATCTGGGACTGTCCCTGGGAAATAGGAACACTTGGGGGGGGTCTGTCCTATTTTGTGCACAAATCACAAGTGGGGAGAAGACTGTCACATTCACATCCTGCTTGTTGGCATGCCATAAGCATCTAGTGAGAAGAAGGTGCTGGATCGGTTGGGCCTGTGGCTTGATCCAGCAGTGATCAGCTTAGGTCCTAATGTGTTCCCATCTTTGGAGGAAATCATGCAGGCCATGGGACTCTCAAGAGTCTCCTCCAGCACCATAATTCAAAAGCATCAATTCTTCGGTGATCAGCCTTCTTTATGGTCCAGCTCTCACTTCCGTACATCACTACTGGGAAAACCATAGCTTTAACTATACGGATCTTTGTTGGCAAGGTGATGTCTCTGATTTTTAGGATGCTGTCTAGGTTTGTCATTGCTTTTCTCCCACAGTACACTCTGCTAATAGCATGCCCTGGCTTTTGAAGTCCGGGCCGCTGATTTACGTCGGAGCACGGGCCAATGGAAGGAGACAGCACAGCTGGGGCTTATCAGCTGGCCTCCCGGCCCTCTGCATGTCGACACTCTTACCACCAGAGAGTTCTTCCTGATGCTTAGTTGGAATCTCCTTTCTTGTAACTTGAACCCATTGGTTCAGGTCTTACCCTCCAGAGCAGGCCAAAAACAAGCTGGCTCCATCTTTCGCGTGACAGCCCTTTTACTTTATACCAAGTCAGATTATTGGTCTATCTAGCTCAGTATTGTACACTCTGCCTGGCAGTGACTCCCTGGGGTTTCAGACATGAGTGGGGTTCTCAATCCTAGCTGGAGAGGCCAGGGATTGGACCTGGGACATTTTGAATGCAAATCATGTGCTCCACCACTGAAATACAGCCCTTTCCCTAGGCAGAGAGTATGAATGAATGATGGAAACAGGGAGGTGGAAGAAGAGGAGCCAGTGGGAATTGGTCCCAGGGTAAGGCAGAGGGTGAGTAAGAAATGGGGAGGGACTGACAGACGGGGACTTGCCTAAGGGGTCTTCAAACCCGGGAATTGATCCTGGTTAATTCCACTCTAGATCTATTGCTGGCTCAGGATCATGCTGTCAAGGTTTGAAGCTATCCTGTCTTCTCATAGCTATGTTTGCAGGTGAGGAAATCTCTCATTTCCCTAGCAACTCAATACTGAGCACAGGAAGGACACAGCCCCTCCCCCCTTTCCAGAACTGATGCGTTGCAGGTAAACATTGTCTGGATAGGTAAAAACAATTCAGTATCGAGTGGCACAATCCCTCTTGTATACTCCTGAAAAGCTCAGAGATCACACCACAGCCGTATCTTCCAGGGCGCCTCAGAGGGGAGCTGTGACCATTTAATGCCGTTTTAAAAATGGGTTTAAGTTCGTAATATTGAAATGTTCACCGTGTGATTGTGGCAGGATTGATATAACACTTCATAGAGGCCTCAAATCGACATTGACAGGTGGCAAGACTCTAGTCTCTCCCTGTCTTTTGACAGAGATGCAAAGAGATCGGGGGAGCACAACGTTGCTGCTGGAGAATCTTCACACTATCTGTAACTTCTGCATCTTCCATGCTGCTCACAGAACAAAACACAAGGGAGGAATTAAGGATAAAAAATTGGACGTTAGCCGAAGTCTTCCCAGTTAATGTGGAGTATATCCATTACCATAATAACTAGCCACTTAATAACTGGCTTCCTCGCTAATTCTAATTGAAACATATAATGATATTTCCGAGCTCGAGTGGCAGTCTCTCGTCAACACCAGCATCTCCCTGGGACTGGCAAGCTCTGCGAAAGCCAATGGTCTCCTTGAGAATTCGGGGCAGACTACGCCGAGCCAAACAGACTGCCGTTCTTGTACGCCTGCCAGAAACCACAGCTGACGATAAAAGCCATTAAAGGTCAGCAGGGAATAGAAAACTATTTATGTTAAATGTCACAGATTATACCGCAGAAACGGCCCAGGGAATCGGAAATCACACTTTAAGAGGCTTCGCAGGCACATGTCAACTTTAAGCAACAAAACTCCTTGGATGTGTCTTGCAAAGTTATAGTAACAAGCTGCAGATGGAGCCGAGGTTGGTTCAGCAAGCATCTGTTGAGCGTTGCTAAGCAATGGGAGAGCAAGTGGGGATGGATCCTTTCTGGCTGCTGTTTGGAATTGGGCTGTGACAGTCACACAGGTTCATAGTAATAGGTGGCTGGGGTGAGAACTGCAATGCTTCAGAGAAGGATTAACTTTTTGGGGGGTGGGATTTCAAGGAGAACTTTCCCAATTCGTGACTGAAACTTTGGTCTATGTAACAGGCTTAATCTAAGACTAACTGGTTTAATCTAAGACTACTGAGTTTCCCAGTAGTGATGTATGGAAGTGAGAGCTGGACCATAAAGAAGGCTGATCGCCGAAGAATTGATGCTTTTGAATTATGGTGCTGGAGGAGACTCTTCAGAGTCCCATGGACTGCAAGAAGATCAAACCTCTCCATTCTGAAGGAAATCAGCCGTGAGTGCTCACTGGAAGGACAGATCGTGAAGCTGAGGCTCCAATACTTTGGCCACCTCATGAGAAGAGAAGACTTCCTGGAAAAGACCCTGATGTTGGGAAAGATTGAGGGCACAAGGAGAAGGGGACGACAGAGGACGAGATGGTTGGACAGTGTTTTCGAAGCTACCAGCATGAGTCTGACCAAACTGTGGGAGGCAGTGAAAGACAGGAGTGCCTGGCGTGTTCTGGTCCATGGGGTCACGAAGAGTCGGACACGACTAAACGACTAAACAACAACAACAACACTGCACACAGAATAGGCATGAGGCTTGTGAAGTCATACTATTACTACAGATTTATTAAACATAAATCAGAACAAAGAAACATGTCGTCTCTGCACAAATGGAAGTTCGCAGCAAACTGTGCTGGAATGTGACATGCAACAGTTCCACATGCCTGTTTCTTAAAAGTCTTAAGGTGGAATGGAAGTGTCAACAAAGAGGTATTCAACAGTGGAATGGACTCCCTCAGGAGGCTTTAAGCAGAGATTGGATGGCCACCTGTATGATCTAGTTGAGGGGGCCTCAGGGTCCTTTCCAACTTGACAAGCCTTTCTTTCTTTCTTTCTTTCTTTCTTTCTTTCTTTCTTTCTTACAAAAAATGTCTTCCTGTCACTTCAAGCGCAGCAATTGACTGCCCACAACAGCCTAGTCACATACCTGGGGGGGAAATGATGCTATATCACGACAGCATTTCCAAGGCAAAAAGAAGCTTGCTCCCAAAGCTCAGGATTCCAAATTACAACACCAGTGGGTTGCTGCAGGCAGCCAGGGCTCTATCGAACCTATAGGAAAGCCATTGAGACTGAGGAGAGAGAGAAAACAAAGGACCTTGTCCCTGGGTCTCAGAGTCCCTGATTAGTCTCAAGTAGAGAGGATTCAGCATCACTGTTCCCATGCTGTGGAGCAGATTCCCAGCAGAGATCCAACAGGCACCCTCACTGCCACCCTCCAGACCTCTCTTGAATACTTTGCTGACAGGCCTACAGTTGTTCAATTATCTTCTTGTAGTTTTAGCCAGTTATTCTTTGAGTTACTTTGTACTTATATGACGTTTCACGTTATATATCTTGATAGCTTTATGTGGGTGGGCAGTTTATAAATACCTTTAGAGATATATAACTGAAAGTGGCACCTGTTAGGATATTCTTCCCCACTGTTTCAATATTTAGGAGATATTTCCACCTCACACACCCACACCTCCAAAATAATGAAATGCTGAGGAGAGTGGAATGAAATACTTTGACCCAGGTTTGGTATAAGGCACCACCTCCCTATATTTCTAGGTCAGGGAGACAAGCGCAGAGCAATGACTACAGAAGCGGTGGCAGCTCCCAGGTGATTCTCGTGGTTAGATGTAGACCCTCCGTGCTGAACTGCGATGACCCCTGATGCCAGCCCTGGAATTAACCTTCCAGAGAGCACAGCCTTGCTTAGCAATGAATTGTAAAATATCATTTAATACAAGAAAGACTCTGCAGGCAGTTCAAAGCTGGGGGGGGGGGAATTAATAAGGAAGCTTAAAAGAAAATCATTGCAAACCTCTTACGCCAGGGATCAGCAAACTTTTTCATCAGGGGGCCGGTCCACTGTCCCTCAGACCTTGTGGGGGGCCAGACTATATTTTGAAAAAAAGAAAGAAAGAAAGAATTCCTATGCCCCACAAATAACCCAGAGATGCGTTTTAAATAAAAGGGCACATTCTACTCATGTAAAAACACGCTGATTCCCGGACCGTCTGCAGGCTGGATTTAGCAGGTGATTGGGCTGGATCCGGCCCTCAGACCTTAGTTTGCCTATCCATGTATTACGTGTTTAACTTAAGGTGGATCTAGCGAAACAGATACCCAAATTTTCACTTGCAGGAAAATATTGTTGCACTCACCCCATTCTCTGAGTGTGCAAGAGATTCTGGTTCTTGCCGGGGGTAGGATTTCCTTGGACTGAAAGTCCATGAAGATGGAGGTATCTTTTCGCTATAGGGCTTTATTTACGCATATATACTACCACAGCATCAGAGGGAAGGGCTGATAACATCAACACTCCAACAAATCTTTCTTTCATGCTAGCCTCCACCCCAAAGTCATAGTTTTGTGTTTCAGCCCACAGAGAAAAAAGCTTCTCCATGTCTCCATTCAGTTCTCAGCATCAGCCCAAAACTCATAGCCCCCTATGGCCATTAGGATGACATGGTATCCAGCCAGATTTTTGGGGGGGCTGCGGAATACCTTCCGGCTTCCTGGAGAACACCACCACTTAGTTTTCGCTATGGCAACATGGTCTACTTTTTTAAAAGGTTTTTAAATTTTATTTTACAATTTAATCAGCATAATCTATAAACATAAATCACATAAGAAAGTAAGCATACATCCCCTTTCCCCCCACCCATACACTTCCCTCAACTTCCCCTTCCGGTTCTTTCTAGTATTTTCTCATTCTGCATAATCTTAATATCATTCCTCTTTACCTAAAAACTCTATTTTCTTCCAAAATCTTTTATATCAAACTGTTTAAATCCCATATTCTACTTGTTTATTTCCACATCATTTTTCAACATCTACCACATCATTTTTTGTTAATTGTAAGTGTTTACTCAAAACCTGCTAGTGAGTCTAGTTCTTTACAATATTTCTGTATATATAAAATAAATACATTCCAATCTTTTTAAAAGTCTTTGTTGCCCTTCTCTTTTAATCTTGCTGTTAAGTTTCGCCATCTCTGCATATTCCATCAATTTGAGTTGCCAGTCTTCTTTCATTGGCATCTTGTCATCCTTCCATCTTTGGGCTAGCAGCCGTTGTAGCATACATAAATAAATTCTTGAGTTCCTTTGGAGTTTCTTGTCCTGTAATGCCTAATAAAAAATCTTCTTTTTTTTGTTAAATGTGAACTTAAATTTTTTTTTCATCTCATTATAAATCTCCCCCCAGTACCTTTGATTATTTTACAATTCACAACATGGCCCTCTTTTTTAAGTCGAGCAAAATCCAGTGCTTAGCTGAGTGGCTAAGGCCATTTGCCTAACAAAGAAACTAGTCTGACCAGTTTTGTGGCTTCTTGTACTGTATTCTGACCTCACAGATGCAGAAATAGAGGCGTGGAGGCAACCCATGGATATAATTCAGAATAACCCCCCCAATTCTGATAGCAATATAGTTTAAAATTCGGGGGGGGGGGGCAAAGAAGGTGAAAGGTGTGCGCACACACATGTCTGCCTCTACCTTAACCTATGAAGACAGAGCAGAGTTTCAAAATGTGTGCTCGTTCCACCTCTCTCTCTAAAACGAATAGATTTCCTATTTCATGCAGACAGAATCCTCCTGTCTCCATTGGTTGGGCAGAAAAGGCTTATCAGCAATGGGGAAAGATTGATAAACCGGACCAATAGGAACAAAAGACTAACCTTCTCCAATCATTGACGAGGAAATTACCACCTTCTGTGTTAGATCTATTGCCTCATTCTGTGTGCCTTTTCCAGACTTTTGGCAGGAAGCCTCTGATATTATGGCAAGAGTAACTCAGCTGGTCAGTGTGGAATCGGGACTTGGTTTGCTGTCCTTATTTCAGGAGCAGAGTAAATCACTGGTGCACAGGGATCTAATAACTCATCTCATAATGGCGGCTCGCATGGAAATTGCACATTACTAGGAAAGTGAGGAGGGTTTTGTATTGAAGAGATGGTATGATAGAGTACGGCAGTTAGCCTGGCCAATAAACTCACACAGCAATGCAGGCTTGCTAAGGGGAGATAGGGAGGGATATTTTCCTTGAAAACTGGGCTGCCTTTTCTTTCATTTATTAACGCTCCCCCTGGGGAGCCAAAGCTCCCTGCTTCTCAGAAATCATTTTGGAGAGATTAACTAACCAGAGCTTGGATCTACGCAGCTTATGGAAGGCATATGTATATATGCAGACAATGTGATATTGTAAGAACAGTTCAAGGAATGTACACACTCCGCGGCACAGATTACTGCATATCCATTTGAACAATTATTATTTTTTATGTTGCTATTAAAAACTAATGATGATTCTCTTCAAAAGCAGAAGGAAGACCTCCTGTTAAGTAGTTTAGCCCATTCACACTTGTTGATGCAACAGAATGAAAGGGCAGAAAGTGACAGACAACCACTTATACAGGGAAATTACATTTCTGAAACATGCACACAGAGTCCTAACGAAGTGGCTTCTTTAGAATGGGGCATCTGAGACCTTCCAAAATGGAAGGCAGTTAACCAAGCTCTTAAAAACACATTATATGAGGTATAATGTCCAGTACCTACCTTATGGAATCTTTCACCTCCTTTCAATGTCCAATTAGAACAATAATTTGGACAGTGTTATTTTCCCCTCTAATGATGGGTATTTTAGATGGTTTTACACGGGTTCTGAGCACTGCTTGTATGATACTTCTTGTGCTATTTAGAGTTTGATTTGGCTTTATTCTGTAATTACTATATGTTTTAATCATGGTTTTGTTTTAACATAATTTGGGATAATTCCCCCCCCAAAAAAAATTGCCTGTAAGTACACATTTTTCCTGGTATCCTCATTTGCTGATAGGATGGGACAAAATTTAGTGATTGACCAAAGCAGAATAAAGAAATATGTGGTTGATAGCAAAAATAGGATGATCAATTAATTACAACAATAGCGTTCAGCTTCTGCCAGCAATCTGGGGGTTAATTCTGTAAGTGCCCATAGCATTAGCAACAACCATGATCCATAAAGGTAAAGGTAAAGGGACCCCTGACCATTAGGTCCAGTCGTGACTGGGGTTGCGGCGCTCATCTCGCTTTATTGGCCGAGGGAGCTGGCGTACAGCTTCCGGGTCATGTGGCCAGCATGACTAAGCCACTTCTGGTGAACCAGAGCAGCGCACGGAAATGTCGTTTACCTTCCCGCCGAAGTGGTACCTATTTATCTACTTGCACTTTGACATGCTTTCGAACTGCGAGGTTGGCAGGAGCAGGGACCGAACAACGGGAGCTCACCCCGTCGCGGGGATTCAAACCGCCGACCTGTTTGGCAAATCCTAGGCTCTGTGGTTTAACCCACAGCGCCACCCGCGTCCCACCATGATCCATACATTATATCTTATTGATCTTTGCCCAGGTTCTATACACCTCTGCTTCATTCCCCTTCCACCAAACAAAGTAGAGTTTTGAGAGTGGAGGTGCTTAGAGTGACATTTGAAATGGCAGCAAAGCTGACCTCTTCATAACAAATACAAATACAAGCAGAGAGTTTGAAAGGAATGTGGTGGAGGCCAGCTATGGAAGTAGCAGCACTTTACCAGTGTGGTTTGGGCTTTCCTGAGGCCAAAATGTCTCATGAGACTTTTTCATGCAATTGAATGCTAACAGTTCTGGCTAAGCCAAGGAACCAAGCCAATGATGGTGCGTAACAGGGCATCATGCACAGGGTCCAAAGCTCATAGCAGCCATGTCATTACAGGCCTGTGAGCTTTTTGCAAGCGGTAAGACTCAGACCGACTTTCACATGGCCATTTCCAAGCTGGGCAGGTACAGTTCTGAGTGCAGTTTGGGAGAATGCTGTCTTGCCCAAGGCAAGGTGGTTCTTTCAAAATGAGATCCAGAAGCAATACAAAATACACATGTGAGTGAGAAGATTAAAGATTTAATTTCAAAAGAGCAAGCAATGTATACATACCAAGCAAGCACTCCAATCTGCCAGTTAGAAGCCCTCAAGAAGCGGCGAAGCGACTCCCCTAGGTAGCCTCAGTTTGCACGGCCCTGTGGCCAATCAGTCCATGCACGAGCTTCAAAGAAACTCTGCCCAAATTGTCTGATTTTATAGATAGACTGTGTGGCTTGCCAGACTGGCTACATGCAGGTCATCCATTAGACACCACCTCCCAATGCCTCACTTTCTCAAAACAATGTCCAACATCAAAGAAGGTACCCAGCACTATCCTCCACAACTGATTAAGGCAGCTGCGCTTGGGGCTTCACCTCCTCCCAAAATTCTCAGGTCATTAAAGACTGTTCTCACACCATCCAAATACTTAACAAGAGTGAGGGAGGGGCAAGGAACAGAGGCAGGAAAGGTAACTGTGTCAGATCACTAACTCCTCAGAACATTTGGTTTTCCAGATGCATTTTCCGTACAAATATGCAAGCAAAATAGCAACAGAGATGAGAATATGTTTCAGATTGGTAAAATGAGATATGTCAGTGTTCGTGATTTTAAAGGTAAAAGTCCTAATTGATATTAGAGAATACTGGATGGATCAAGAAGGTGAGATGAAACCTGGCAGAAAAGGTATCTCTCTAAATCCAGAACAGTGGAGCCAGCTGAAGGAACAGATTACTGATATTGATGAAGCAGTAAGAAAACTGTAAAGGTGAACCATGCAGAAACTCCACTGTTATAGGTTTAAGTAGTCTTTTTACACTGGCATTCATTTTCTAAACTATTTGTTTGCCAAGCTATTGTATATTTGGATTGCAAAACAATTTGTAAGATGAGCGCTTTTTAAAATGTGCATCAAAAGTGTAATCTGGGTGAATTTACAAATGTGTATACTTTTATTAAACAGGCGTTATGTTCTCACATCAAGGGACGCGGGTGGCGCTGTGGGTAAAAGCCTCAGCGCCTAGGACTTGCCGATCGTCAGGTCGGCGGTTCGAATCCCCGCGGCGGGGTGCGCTCCTGTTGCTCGGTCCCAGCGCCTGCCAACCTAGCAGTTCGAAAGCACCCCCGGGTGCAAGTAGATAAATAGGGACCGCTTACTAGCGGGAAGGTAAACGGCGTTCCGTGTGCTGCGCTGGCTCGCCAGATGCAGCTTGTCACACTGGCCACGTGACCCGGAAGTGTCTGCGGACAGCGCTGGCCCCCGGCCTCTTAAGTGAGATGGGCGCGCAACCCAGAGTCGGACACGACTGGCCCGTACGGGCAGGGGTACCTTTACCTTTTTATGTTCTCACATCATGGTGTAAAATAAAACACATTCAATTAAAATAAAAAAGAAAGTGCACCACTCATCCCGAAAGCCAGCAAAAGGGCTAAAGAGATGCTTAAAGATGTAGGCTAAGGGATGGGACATGGGTGGCGCTGTGGTCTAAACCACTGAGCCTCTTGGGGTTGCCGATCGGAAGATGGCGGTTCGAATCCCTGCGATGGGGTGAGCTCCTGTTGCTCAGTCCCAGCTCCTGTCAACTTAGCAGTTTGAAAGCACGCCAAAAAGTGCAAGTAGATAAATAGGTGCCACTCCGGCGGGAAGGTAAATGGCGTTTCCATGCACTGCTCTGGTTTCGGTGTTCCATTGCACCAGAAGCGGCTTAGTCATGCTGGCCACATGACCCAGAATAACTGTCTGTGGACAAACGCCGGCTCCCTCAGCCTGTAAAGCGAGATGAGAGCCGCAACCCCAGAGTTATGGCGCGACTGGATGTAACTGTCAGAGGTCCTTTACCTTTACCTTTAAGGGACGGGAGCTGGATGACCAGGGAGAGATGGGAGAATGCGAAGCAAGAAACGGCAGCGGCCACCCACTCCTTATTTTTATTTATTTGTTTTTCATCAGTTTAGTGGGAGCAAAACAATCAAAGCAGCAAAGAAGGGAACACGCAGCAGCCCCAACACAGGCCTTGCAGGGAGGGAGGGAGGGCACCCGCTAAACAAAGCTGGGGAGATGCATTTCCTATTTCCTTGGTGCGCTAATCGCTTTTGTTCAGCTTGGTGCGTTTGTGCTGTCAGAGGGAGAGGCGTGGAGTAATGTTGCTTGAGTCTTTAATCTTTTGACAATGGCTGTCACAAAGGAATGTGTAATTAGGACATGCTGTACCTTCCTAGGCTGCCTGGTCCCCATCCGCCCACCTCCCCCTCAGTTTTTGAGGCGCGCGGTGCCTGCGTCTTGGAGAAAGGCAGGGCTGGGCTCATCTGATGTTTCCCTATAATTGGTTTATTTGCTTTCCTTTGTAGCTTGTCTTGTCAGAACAAGGATTGCTTTACTACCAGGCATGGTGTATAATATCTTGGCACCATTTGCATTTGGCATTGATGGGGGAGTGGAACAAAATGGCAGCGGGCAAAGATCTGAAGCCATCTTTACTTATTGGGATGGACGGTGCCTCATGCTCCTGGTCCAGGATATTTTGAAGGAAACAATGTTCAATCTTCCATACTTCCAAATCAAGTGGGGAACCTTTGTTTTCCAGATACTGCTGAATAACAACTCCCATCAGACTTGGCAAGCATGGCCAATGGCTAGGAATAATGGGAGGACAGCAAAAATTGGAGGGACAGAAGTTCCCCGTCCGTATTTTAAATAAATAGTTTGTGCACTTTATATATGGGCCAGATGCTGCCCCAACCTGCATATGCACACATACTCCATGGTGCTTCCAAAAGAATGGCTGTAGAATAAGCTTTGGAGGTGAGGGCCATTTCTGAATGTCAGGTGACTCATACTCAGGCACTTGAAGAAATGCACAGGCTCATTCACAAAATAAAACTACTACATGCAGAATTTGTGCACAGAGAACACCCATGTTGCAGCTGCCTGGCTGCAGAGGTTGCAAAACAGGCACACTCTCAACCATGCTACCACCTAGTTGTGTTGGTAATGGTGTTTGTGTGGAAGACGCTGTAGTGGTCTTGTACAATGTGGGTAGGATGGGGTGAGTGGGAACCCTATGCACACGCATTAGAACATTTGTAAGGAGCCCACAGATTTGTGCATGTGGAGACCCTGTCTTTATGGACGTTCTAATGAAGGTGCATTTGTCAGGGGGCAGATCCTGTGCGCACACATCTCATGTGTTCCCTGCACCCATATTAATAGTCTGAAAGGGTTGGTGTTGTGTTTGGGGAGAGCAAGTAAAGGCAAACACATTTCCTCTGCTCTGATAGATGCAAGGTCACAGACCGGAGATCATTAATCAATTTGCAAAATATACATTAGCAGGGTTTTAAAATTACTTGTAGTTTTGTTATGAATGGATCATAGATAACACAAATGGGTTTTAAACTTAGCAATGGACATGTGGTACATTGCTAAATAATGGAACCAAGGAAGGGAGCCAATCTGTTCTGTTCTGTTTTGTTTTTGTATAGTTGTTGTTTTTATTTTTGTTATTTTTGGAAAATTAATAACATTATTTAAAAAAAATTTGCAAAATATGGTGCTTGTTTGGTACTTGAGGCAAACATTGCCCAGTCACACCAGCTTTCGTGCAACATATCTATGGCAGTGTGAACTAAGCTTCTCTAGTTACAAATGATAGTCAGAGGGAAAGAAGCTGGAGAACAGAAGGAAGATGGAGGATTATGGGGAAGCAGAACCTGAACCTCTAAACAACATGTGGGTGCGACTGGAAGAGATGGGAGTCTGGGGAGAATAAGAGGAAGGAAAGAGTGCTGTGTGGCTGTGGTCTTTTGGCTACTGTGCGGGTGGGGGGGCGGTGAATAAGTATTTCCCTTCTTTGGGAAGTACTGGAGAGGGGTTTGCTTTCCATTATAGTGGCCAAAGCAAAGTGACCCTGCTTAGCAGGTGATGGACAACTTCCAAGTCCCCACTGCTCTCCCTTCTTAGGGTTCTTTTGTCTTTAAGACCTTCAGAACAGGAGACTACTGTAAAGTGAGGTCTGTCCTCTGAGAAGTTGGCAACATGGCCACCAAAGAACTCAGGTATCAAATTGCCCCTGTATTGGATTGTGTGGCCCACCCCAGAGCTCACCAATGCAAAGCAACAGTCAATCTCATAAATAAATGAAGCAAAAGCAAACTGGCAGTTAATGGAATAATGACAAATGTGTAGAGAAACCGAAGGGAAAATGCAAGCAATTTAAGAAGCTTAATTATTTAGCGGGAGAAGCCTGTTCTTGTGTTTGTGCATGTAAAAGTGGGGAGGGGGTTGAACGCTGTCACACTGGATTACAGTGCCTGTCTCCAGAGAGAATGCCAGCTCTTCCTTCCATACCCAAGCAGGATTTAAGGAGAGAATATGAAACCTGTTACTGAGAGAGGCACATAGTGGAGTTTAAGAGGATATCATTAGCTTGAGATCTATAAAGAGAGTCATTTTGAATTAAGAGAGATGTGCACGTCTAAAGCAATGATGGGAGCAATTTGGATCTAATGTTTGGTTCTGAAGGAGGGAGGCAAAGGCACAGGACAGAGAACAGCCCTCTCCCCTGACTCAAAGACCAAATGCCCAGCTCCATCAGAGGGATGGTTTATGCCTTATGTCTGTTGACTATGGAGTTCAGGCACCGTCAGCTCTTTCCATCTATGTAGTTCCATTATCGGTAATGAATCTAGTTTCGTTGTTGTTGCTGTTGCTGTTGCTGTTGCTGTTGCTGCTGCTGCTGCTGTTGCTATTGCTGCTGCTGTTGTTTTATTGTTTATACCCCGCCCATCTGGCTGGATTCCAGCAAAATATAAAAAATAATAAAATGTCAGACATTAAAAACTTCCCTGAACAGGGCTGCCTTCAGATGTTTTCTAAAAGTTGTCTACAGTGGTACCTCGGGTTACAGATGCTTCAGGTTACGGACTCCGCTAACGCAGAAATAGTACCTCGGGTTAAGAATTTTGCTTCGGGATAAGAACAGAAAACTTGCGGCAGCAGCACAGCAGCAGGAGGAGGCCCCATTAGCTAAAGTGGTACCTCAGCTTAAGAACACCTCCAGAACGAATTAAGTTCTTAACCCGAGGTACCACTGTAATTCTTTATCTCCTTGACATCTGATGGGAGAGCATTCCACAGGGAGGGTGCCATAGCCAAGAAGGTCCTCTGCCTTGGAAGTGGACCTCAGTATCTGGGCTGAAGGATGGAGGTGGAGACGCTCCTTCAGGTATTCTGGGCCAAAGCCATTTAGGGCTTTAAAGGTCAGCACCAACACTTCGACTTGTGCTCAGAAACATACTGGGAGCCAGTGAAGATCCTTTAGAACTGGTGTTATATGGTCTCAGCGGCCACTCCCAGTCACCAGTCTAGCTATCGCATTCTGGATTAGTTGTAGTTTCTGAGTCACCTTCAAAGGTAGCACTCTTCGCCATCACTATCACCACTTGGTAGGGTCAACATTGAGCTTTAACCCATGTCCAGTCCAATTCAGAATGAGCTTTCCACCACCGGCAATCTAGCCGTCTCAGTGATTGTTTCATCGCCCTCAGCTCAGGGGAGAACCATGGGGCCGTTCAGGCTCCATGCAATCAGAGAGGGTGCTTTGGAGCCACAGTCAATAGCCCTGGGTTTCTAGAAGGGTTCATTCATAGTGCCTGAACAGAACACATTATCTATGTCTTTCAGGGATTACATCAGAAGGTGGCGGGGGGGGGAGCTTTTCAGCTTGAGAGCTACATTCCCTCACAGGCTACC